CGAAGGATGCAGGAGACCCAGAGTCCAGAAGCGCCACTCGCGCGAGTTGAGAAGTGGCTGTAGGTCCTCCATGCAGCAGGACCCGGGTGGTGTATGAGTCCGAGTCCAACAGGAGCGTGCCGCCGACCAGATCGGGCCCATGTTCGAGAAGAGGAGGCTGGTCTGCACAAGCGGAGGTCGATGCCACCAGATGAACGCCAAGAGCATGGTCGCCCGGAGCGTCCAAACGTAGACAAGCTGGGTCTTCGCCGGGTCCTTCCGTAGCGAAGAACCTGTAGCAGTAGCAACCTCATGAACGCGTCCATGTCCATGGAGAGGAGGCTGCGGAATGGGGGGCGTGGGAGAATTGGAAGCGGGGATATCTTCGCCAGACAGGGGATGATCACGCAAAAGGCGCCGAACTTCCATCAAAGCTTTTCCCAACAAGTTTTTACCGCTAACCGTCCACTTGGATAAATCGCTAGCATCTGGAAAGCATGCAGACATGCCGATACCCCAAACACGATCGAAGGGGCTGGCTTCTGCAAGGAGGCGGGTACCCGTCTCCAGTAGATGATGTTTCATGTCATGGTTTTGAGCAAATTTGGTATACGACCCCGTAAGCACGATCTCTTCACGACGACGCTCCCGTTCAGCATTGTCGAAAGGACGCACATTTCGACCCAAAAACTTGTGTGTCTTAGGATCTGTTGCAGCCATAATTTTGTCATACGACGTCATATCTCCGAACAACTTCGCTTTTTCAGACATCATGAATTGCTCACCACATGAATAACGTACCCCCAGTACGTCAAAAGCCGAAGGAGTCCATTGCGAGAACACAGACGGAGGTTTCCAGAAAAGAAGGACGTCATCCGAAGCGTACTCGCACTTGTCATCAAACGGCGGAGCCGGTGCAGGGCGAAGGGGCAAAAGGCGGGCACCAGGCACAGGCGGGGGTGGACCAGGCGGACGGGTCCTCTTCTCCGACGGGGAGGACCCAGAAAGCGAGGCAGGAGCGGGCGAAGTCGCAACGCGCCGTGATCCGGAGGGCGGCCTTAGGGCCGCGGCTCCGGCGGGGTCAATGTTAGCAGAGGCCAATCGGCTATCAGAGACCCGTTCGTTTGGAGAAGTAANCGCACTTGTCATCAAACGGCGGAGCCGGTGCAGGGCGAAGGGGCAAAGGACGAGCACCAGGCACAGGCGGGGGTGGACCAGGCGGACGGGTCCTCTTCTCCGACGGGGAGGACCCAGAAAGCGAGGCAGGAGCGGGCGAAGTCGCAATGCGGCGTGATCCGGAGGGCGGCCTTAGGGCGGCGGCTCCGGCGGGGTCAATGTTAGCAGAGGTCATTCGGCTATTAGAGACCCGTTCGTTAGGAGAAGTCATTCCTGCAACAGACGGATGTTTGATCATTGACGCAGGGCGCTCTTGACTACTCCCCCTTGACAAAGGAGCCGAACCTTCCACGGAATGGTGGGCACTACCATCCGATCCCGATGGCAGTGGTGCAGTCAGCACGTGGTGGGCAGCAGAGGAAGACGCATTCGTATCAGGTGCTTTCACACGGGGGCAGCGGACGGTCGAAGACAACGAAAGCTGCGAAAGAGAAGGAGGATCGACGGGCTTCCCGACGAGTGTAGAAGAAGGCTCGTGTGCGATCCGAGAAGAGGCCCGGCTGACAACACCAGGAGAGTCTTGACGAATAGTAGAAGACGAGGTTCTTGTTCCTTCTGTAACCCGAGACGACGAGGTGAGCAGGGGTGGACCGCTCGACGTCTTACCTCCCTGTCGCCCACACCACAAAGGTACTGCCGAAATGGGTCTGTCATGTCCATTACCAGCAGGCGATGAGGCGGACGACGAGGAGGCGGGCCGAGAAACTAGATGTGATTTAGGAGCGTGGGGAGTATCCAAAGAAATAGGCTGTACACGAACATCTTGGGAGACTCCAAAAGGGTGCACGGTGGTTGCTGTCGACGGTAGTACCGGCTGAACTCCGCCATCGGCTTGTCATTTCTTACCCCTCCAGCCCCTTTTTGTCGAAGTGGAAGCGTCCGACGAGTGCTCTGTGTGTGAGGACTGTTTCGTGTCCGATGTGTCAGATGAACGGCGGGCGCGTCCTAAGGGGTGATTTTGATGTGGATTGCGTCCTGTAGGGCGTCTATACGAGGTCATGCGCTTTTTCCACCGACCCCAAAGGGTGGGATCTTTTTCCATACAGAACTTGATGTCATTGTTAAGCAGGCCGGTGGCGTTCACGAAACCACGATTACAGGATTTGAAGGAGTGGTCTTCTCCCAAGCAGTTGAGGCACTTGCCCTTGTACAGTCGAAGCGCGTTGCGGCGCTCTTCAGCCGAGACCAAGGGGGTGAACAATGGCGGATCATTCTTGGTTAGAGCCATCTCACTAGCGACGTTGTACACCTCTTGGAAGTGTCCTTGCAACGGCCAGTCGCTGTAGTGCAACAGAAAAGGGTCCCGATCATCATTAGGTAGAGGGTCAACACTCATCACGGCGGCCGAAGAACCTTGGCTCCACGAAGGGGTCACCATCGAACGCAACGCCGAAGAAGATACAGCACGCGAAATAGCAGACGGACTCCTAGCATTCGTGGAAGATACCGAAAAGAAATCATCTCCATGCCGCCGGCGTGTGCTCGAACTCACGCTTGTCCAACACATCCCACATATCATCCAGACACGAAGCATGTCGCCCAAAAGGGGCTTCCATGGAGAGCTGCTCATCCTTGTACACCTGCCCAGACACTACCGGAAACTGCTTCAACATGGAGTCTCGAACAGCTATCTGCACTTGCGCATCCGAAGGCTTGAACGCGTGGTGGGAAACCATGACGGTCATGGCCAGAGCCTTATAGCGACGAATGTATTCTCCGTAAGTCTCGCCGTTGGATACGCCAAAACTGCGAAGACGATCAATCCCCGAGCTCTTGTCTTGAGTGTCCCAGGCGGCCGCCAATTTCTGGATGAAGAAGGCGTACGTCGAGGGCCCTGCCGGTTCCTTGCGCAGATGGTTTTCTACCTGTAGGAAGGTGGCATCAAGATAATCCAGAGTGGCACGGTTGGTGGTTTGGCCTTCAACGACAGCAGCACGGACACGTTTGCGCAACAACG